AAAGCGCTTAATCGCCTCGTACTGCGTGTCGCTCGCAAGCGGACTTACACCCGTTGTGATCACTTGGCCACTCACAAACGGAACACCACCAGCACTCACCGCCTCACGCCACGTACTCAATAGAATGTCCTGTAGTGCAAACGGCCCAAGCAGGAAGGCGTCAGCGGTGCGGGGGTCCGTCAACATTTTTTTAATAAACTTGATGGTGTCGTTCACACGTGCACCAAACACAATCACAGCCTGCGGGCGGGTGTCGGCAAACTTCTCCCACTCGGCGTTGAACACAGCATCATCAGCGGACCCGGTGTAGGATCCATTCAGAGTGAACACGCCACAGAGCTTGTAGCCAATCTGAAGCAGCACACGTTTAGCTTCATTAAACTCAGTGTCACCAAAGAATATACCTTGTAAGTACATAAAGCCCAGTCGGTGAACACGCAAATGAGTTACAGCAAAACGGATAAGAGCAAGCAGCTCAGCGGCGGGCTCCGGCCGAAGAAAGTATAGGCTGGAGTTCCACCCACGCACTTGACTGGAGCCCGTTATGGGGGCAAATGATACCAGCTTATGCTTTTTTAATGCAGGCAACGCCTTCATCAACGGCTCATCATCTGTAGGACCAAGAACAAAAAGAATGTCCGGAATCTCCGAAAGAACATGAAAAATAGTTGCATTTATAGCGCTAGACTCCACCACCACTTTTGTTACATTGACAGTAGCACCGTCAGCCACAATAAAGTTACGCGACCGCAACGAAGCCACAAAGCCCATACCAGCAGCTTTGCCCATACGAGTGTCCGACCAAGAATCCGACGTTCCAATATAGAGAATATTTACTGTTCTCGTAGTCCCATCAGCTGCACCCCCTCGACTAGCTGACAGCAGCGCGACGAGGGAGAGCAGCACCGCGCAGAGCTGCAGGCGGGGGTGGCGGTGACCAGCGGCCGGATCGTGCGGCGCCGCGGTGGTCGACTCCAGCGCTGTGCGCATCGCCGTGAGAATACCTTCTTGTTGTGGTGCTTGTGCCTTTCTGCCGCAAGCAAAGCAAGAAACAGGAGCGAGAGGGGGGGAGTGCACACGTGTGATGCTCGCAAGCACAACCGCACGCAAAGAGCGCCGCACTCCGCTGCCACACACACAGCAAGGAGACGCGGGAGCCGTAAACAGGCCAGCGCACAAGCACAATCGGAAAGGGGGCGCCACCAACGCGGCACCTCAACAACGACACGAATCACACGTACGACACAGCAGTCCATACTCCTCCAGCACCACACAGCGCCACCGTAGTCCAAGCACTAATGCCAGCCACACCAGCAACCCGTCTGTCACACACGCACACAGCAACCCAGCGAACAGGCATCACAGCGCGTGCCAGACCCACCCAGCGCGGCACACAGAACGAGGTGCAAAGCCACCAATAGCGGCGCACCACATCACACACACGTCCCTTTGCAAGAGGGGAACAGAGGACTTTCTCCCGAAACACAGAGCCCACTGAACCGCACAGCAAGCAGACGGTAGGAGTACACACAATCATGGCAGTGCCTCCCACATTATCGCCCAGACGTCCCGGACCGAAACGAGGCGCCGCGTCCACAACAGGTCAGCCGCATCGGCACCACAAGGGTGGCGTCCGACAAATTCGAGTACCCCGCAGACGCGTCCGACCGCCGCCTACCAGCAGAGACAGCGACAGATGCGCACAGCAACACGCCAGCCTCCCGCACGAGAAGAGAAACGACCAGCCACCACCACAGGACCAACCGCCAGAAAAATGCAGCCAGCGTCGCACCGATGTGGCAAGAGGCTCTCCTCATCCTCCGAAGCACGGGCCTCCTCGTCAGCATCGCAAAACAACGTA